ATTAAAAGCCGAATAGAACAAGCCCGAGCTGCCTTTGTAAAAATGAGAAACGTACTTTGCAGTCATGATCTTAGCATTGACCTTAGAGTTCGTATGATATCTTGCTACATCTTTCCTGTCCTGCTGTATGGAGTAGAAGCGTGGACCCTAACTGAAGCTATGCTTAAACGCTTGACAGCCTTTGAGATGTGGGTATACAGACGACTACTGAAAATAAGCTGGGTCGACAGAGTTAGAAATGAGGAGGTCCTTAGACGGCTGAACGAAACAACACAACTGGTCAATATAATAAAGAAACGCAAGCTGGAATACTTCGGTCATATTATGAGACACCCTGAAAAATATGATCTTTTACATCTGATCATTCAGGGAAAGATCCAAGGTAATCGTGGTCCTGGTAGAAGAAGAACATCATGGCTAAAAAATCTAAGGCAATGGTATGGAAAATCAACTACATCGTTATTTAGAGCTGCTGTCAATAAAGTCACGATAGCGAATATGGTAGCCATCATGATATCCAACGATCGATAACGGTCATGGAACTAGAAGAAGAAGAATCATCTGCATTATTGAATTATCTGGTGACTGGGATTCGAATGCCTCCGGGTCGTCTCCACTGTAGATAAGAGTACCTTCAGTCCCGTCTTGGAACCATTGGAAACTACATCTCATTCCTATAACTCCTCACGCAACTGATTCACAGTAAGATGTTTTATCAGCAACTTCGACCGAATATACACAAATTTTTAGAAACTGTTTTTTTTTTCAAAGTCTTTACCGAAAACCGAACAATTAACGCAATCCAATTGTGTGCAAATTATTTCATAGTTCCGAATATACTTTAAAGTTCAATATCTTTATTACTTAAATTTCTGCCACAAATTATATTGAGTTTATAAAATATTCGAGTACATTTAAATACTTATTAACAATACGTTTAAGCAATAGTTTATTTAAGCAATAATTGAATATAACATTACTAAACAATATATAATTAAAATCTACTGACGCCTATCCTAAGAAATTGGTGAAGACAGGAAATCATTATAGTAGTAAAAAATCTCGGTATTTGCGTTGTAATAAGGTATTCAAGAACTCCAAGTTAAACCGCAAATATAATAATCTTAACGGAAATTAATTTTCATAAATTTAAATTTAAAAATTTAAGTTAAGTATACTTCATCTAATTTACTTACCGTTGCACGTCATCCGCGTCATAGTCCGTGAGGTCACATGATACCAACACGAAATATTTAGGCGGTAGGTGTGTTCTTTTTTAGAATCACTTTGCCGAGTACACTTGCATTACAACCATTAGACATATTTTATTATATATGCGTAGAAATAATATTTAAAAATTTCTATTAATGTTAACTTAAAGAAATGCACAATAATTGTTTCATTAATTTGTATACATGCAATATAAAGCGTTTTTATGAAGAGCATTTGTTCGGAACACACTGTAACTGTAATCGAACGAAGGTGATATTTTGGCATAAATTGGTGACACTTACTTGACAGTTGCGGTGTTGACACGGTGTTGAAAAAAGTGTTGTTTTTGTTTAAGTATTTCATTTTACATCTTTATACGACGCATACAAGCGGCTCAAATTGTTTTTAACAAGATTATTTTTTAACTATTGTTTTGTTTCTATTTATTTACATTAAATAATAATTTGTTTTGATATATAATCCACTTAATAGTTGTGTGACCTATTTGATTTAAAATGGATTCAGGATTTTTTTATACTTTGGCAACTATGTCAACTTCGATCTCTGTCAATGATAATGACGTGCAACGGTAAGTAAATTAGATGGCGTGTATTGTCATTGTATTCGTATAATTAAGTTTTATGCCATTTGCAAAAATACATTGCTTTTATCTTTTTTCTCTGAAATGCTCATACAGCTGAGATTGTATGTTTTCAGTGTCATCTTCGTCCCCAGATTCTATCCCATTTTGTTCTGACTCAGAATCCTCTTTATATTTCTGGATAACCTTAACTTTATCGATGTCTCTGTCGTCTATAAAATTTTCTTTATCACTACTTATAATCATATTTCTAAGTGCTTTAACCTCGTCTGGGTTATCGAATTTAAAATAATTTTTCTGGTAGCCCTATTGCCAAAAAAGTACATTTTTGTAATCATTGCATTAAACAGGTGAAAACAAGTTAAATTTATAATATACTCGTTATAATATTGTTGTTTAAGTGTAAAAACATACACAAAAGGTCGCGCGTATGTACCACATACGATAGAGGTTACTGCTTGAATACACTGACTTCAAGCGACAAAATTTGATAACGGATTGGCATTATTAAAACAGACAATGAGATAAAAGCACGAACCTCGCCTTCCTCAAATTTACAAATACAAGGGTGGACCTGTAGGTGCCCGAATGTACCACATACGTGAATACCTTTCGAAACGCTAAACAAATCATCCTACTTATGATATTTATATATATATATATATATATATATATATTATATATATATATATATATATATATATATATATATATAGCGAGGTTCCTACAGCCTCTGCCGTTTCTCGCATTTCGACCGCCATCGTTTTCTGTCCATCCATTCGTCTTCTCTGATGGCTCTATCTCTCATTATGTGCCGTACATTTTCTTCCCAGGCAACTGAAGGCCTTCCCCTTCTTCTTCTTTGTTTTGGTATGTAATTTAAAGCTTTCTTTGGCCATCTATCTTCATTTATTCGTTTCACGTGACCATACCACACTATTGTCTCGTTTCAATTCTATCTACACTGGAATATACAGTATTTGTCCTCCTTCTAATATCTTCATTCCTGATGTGATCTTTTTTGGATATACCACACGCTCTCCTTAGAAAATCCATTTCTACTACTTCTATTCTTTTTCTATCCTTCTGCGTTATCTGCCAAACCTCTACCCCATAAGTCATAATAGGCTCTACCAAGGTTCGATAGGTTGTCAATTTCGTTTCTTGTCTAATATCTTTAGACCAAAGTAGAGAGTTTAGAATGTTTACCACTTTTTTTCCCTGCTGTGTTCTGTTTTCGATGTCTCTTTTGGTAGTGCCTTCTTTAGATATTATAGATCCGAGATATTTATATTCATTGCATGTTTTTGTGTTTCTAATTTCTAACTCTGGATCTTCTTCACCATCTCCTATTTTAAGATACTCTGTCTTTGCCATATTCATATTGAGGCCCCATTTTTCATATTCTTTCTTTAGTTTTCTAAATATGTAGTCCATGTCTTCCTCGTCATTCGCTACGACTACCTGATCATCTGCGAAAAATAAAGCTGTTAGACATTCACCACCGCCTATGTCTATTCCCATTCCGGATACTTGTTTTCTCCACTGCTCTAGCGATGATTGAATATATATTTTAAACAGGGTCGGAGACAGACAACATCCTTGTTTAAGCCCCTTGGTTATTGGAAATGATTCAGATATAAAGTTTCCTTCTTTAACGACACTTCTTGCATTTTTGTATATATTTACGATAGCATCCACATACTCTCTACTGAGACCTACTTTCGTCAATGTATAAAATAGTTTTTTCAAAGGTACCGTATCATATGCCTTCTCTAAATCTACAAACAATAGGTGGGTGGATAGATTCCTTATGATATTTACACACTTATTTACACTATATACAAATGTGGTAACGATAAGACTACTAAAGATAATTAAAGTACTATTGTAAACATAATACCTTAATCAACCATGGGAGCTTATCGTCTATACCTTGCCTAGCTCAGTATCTCAAGTGTGAGTTCTTCTTGTCTTAAAATAGGGATTGAATCTGAGTTCCTAGTTGATAGCAAATAAGACAAATTTTAACCAAACATATTCATTAAAAATAATAAAAAAACAATAATTAACCCTGCCAAAGCTTAACAGTTAATAAGTGCTATTTATTGCTTCGATGGGCTGCTTGTGTGTTCCATCTGTTAGGCCCTCCAATTAAAAGTTGTGGTTTTTGGAGAGATGCAGTCACATGTGTTTGTATATCCTGATTAGATTGTTAAGTCCAATAAATGGTCCTCATTATTTTGAATGTGGTCTATAAACCCAATAAATCCATAAGGCTGTCAATAAGCCCAATAAAATGCCCAATAAACTAAAACATAAGGAACAGCTTGCATTAGAGACACATCAAAAAGAAAGGTTTAACTTCTTTGCCATCTTACAAAATTACAATTAAACAAATAGCGTATGGCAAGGATAAAATGAAATATGATTGTTACTACTTAGTTAAATTCTGTTAAAGAGTCCTAATGCATATATCAGAAAAAAAAATGTGATTTCGAAAGAAAGTAAGGTTACAAATATTAGAAATGCAGTCAGAATTATAGAATAAATATAACAATGAAAGTACTTACCCTAAGAGAATTTGTAGACCATAAAATGAGTATTATAATAATTTTTGCCTTCTTTTATAAATGTCAAAAAGAGGCAAAAAATAATCCCACCACGTTAGAAAAGTTAGCACAGATGTCATAGGACGTTGCTATTTCATGAAACTAGCTTGTCTGTCAACACAAAACAGAAAGAGAGACGGCGAATATTTATTCTACGGAACAGAAAGAGAGAGAAAATAAAGACAGAGGAAGAAAAGAAAAACAGAGGGCGCCAACTACTTTTTAAATAAAAAAACATAGTAAAAATTACACTGAAGATAAAGAAATTAATAAATTAATAAAGAAATTAAAATGAAATAATTATTTAAATATAAATTAATAAAGATGTGACGTTTATAACGTTACAATGTTTTATTAAATCCTATAAAATACTGCTTAGAGTAAACTTCACGCAACAGAAATCAGTCCTTTATACCTATGCAATAAAATTCATGATAATTCGGGTAAATAGTAGCAATCTATTCGAAGCAGGTGACTTCGCCAGACTGTTTCGAGTTCTCTGGAAGCCATTACTGGACCGGTTTTGGCTACAATATTGTTTATAAATTTTTTTTACTATTGCCTCTATTTTTTAGCTTGGTGGTGGCTGTGAATTGGCTATGATGTGCGACATTATTTACGCTGGGGATAAAGCTAAGTTTGGACAGCCCGAAATTCTTCTTGGTGTCATTCCTGGAGCTGGAGGCACCCAAAGGCTTACTCGAACCGTTGGCAAATCTAAGGCAATGGAGATAGTTTTATCTGGTAAGCACATAATTTTTAGGATTATGAACAAAATCTTATAGTTGTTAGTAATAGGTAACATAACAAATTATTTCTTCTTCTTCTATGCTGCATGTGATTTGGTTTTGCTTGTTCTGTCTTCACAGGAGTAGTATAAGCATCTTTTTCGAAGTTTTCTATATTTCTCTTGTCCCTTTGATTCCAATTGGCATTTTTTTTGTCGTTCGCATGTCACATTTCATTACATTATGTGTTCATTTCTTATTAAATCTCTTTTGTGAACGTTTTTTATAGTTTATCCAATGTTCACTGCCGCACATGAGTAAAGGTACGGCCATAGTTTTGTAAAATTTAATTTTTACGTCGTTTCTGGTTTTATGATGTAGTGTTCTATTTATTAGACCGCATATTGCTGGAAAATATATATTTTATTGTCTATAACGTTATCGCATTTATACATTCTTCATTGATTACCATAAAGCGTTCGATACAGTAAAACACTACAAGCTGATGGAGATATTAACAAATATTGGAATAAACACCTCTGATCTAAGAATTATTAGGACTCGATCAGTCCACAGGATCTAAGTATTCTCCAATATAGCCACATCTTAAATTCATCCATTTTTCTGCACATATCTTCGTTCAAGGTCAACGATTCAAAACCATAAAAAAGGACAGAGAAGACTTAGCATCGCAGCGTTCTTACTTTTGTATCAAGAGAGAGGTTGTGGCTCTTAAAGAAGGCGCCCATCCAATTACAGGTGAATCTAGCTTTTTTGATGCGTGCTCTAATCTCCTGGTTGTTGGTCCATTCTTCATTTATTATGATGCCGAGGTAGTTATGCCCGCAGTAGTGGTACCCCTCTCTACAGGGGATTGGTTGACGTAGAGTTGAAGTTCTGTTATCCTTTTCTTGCTAATTATTATAAGCTTTGTCTTCTTAACGTTTATATTGAGTCCATATTGTGGACTGTAATACGTGAGTTTGTTCATAAAAACTTGTAGTTCTTTTAAGTGGTCCACAAATACTATGGTGTATACTCTGAGGAAATCTTTCAAGAAGCAGTAGAGGATGTTGAAGCCGGAATTCGAATTAACGGAGAATGTATTAATAACATCAGATACGCGGATGACACGGTGGTATTCGCTGACAGTTATGAAACCCACTAGGAGTTAATGAATAGAATCACAGAAGTGAGTCAGAGATATGGCTTTCACTAAACATGACGAAAACAAAATGTATAATGTACACCACCTTGGTACGAATGTCAATGAAAACTGGAACCATTTCTTAGAAATTAAATGTAGCTTAGAGAAATCAAGATGTGCATTTCAAAAAATGGCTAAGCTATTTAACTACCATGATTTATCAGTACCCATGAAAATCAGGTTACTACAATGTTATTGTTATTATATCGATCTGTAGATATGCAGGACAGGTATGAATAAGGCTTAGCCAAATAAATACACGCGGATCAACTGAGGACATGACACAGGTCAGCAGCTGTGTTATTAGTGGCCCGTGGCTGAGGAATAAAATTCCTGACAGGTGCGAAACCACAGAGTCGCAGGCGGCAATCAAGTAGATTTAACCGGCTGTGATACTGCGAATACTCACCAACCCGTCTGGCAAGCGTGGTGTTTTAATGCCAATATACCCCTTAAAAACGCGATGTCAGTTTTTAAAACAAATACGGATCTACCCCAGGTGAGTAGGATGCGTCCAGAATCTCACACTGATTTATCAGTCTGTCCCAAGGATTCTGGGGGGGACAAAAAACTGACTATACGGAAACCCAAAAAAACTATAACTCTCTACGTTAGTACATACAATGCCAGAAGTCTACTGTCCGAGGAAAGATTCACTGAAATGGAAACTGAAATGAATAAAATAAAATGGGATGTCATAGGTATTAGCGAAGTTAGAATGAGAGGTGAAACTTTGAAAACACTCAAATCAGGGCATATATTCTATCAGATTGGTCCTGAAACTACATCAGTTGGAGGCATCGGTTTCTTTGTCTATAAAAATCACGCGAACAAGATAATAAACATCAAAAGTATATCATCTAGAGTGGCATATCTTATTCTGAAGCTGAACAGTAGGTATCAACTCAAAATTATCCAAGTATACGCTCCAACAACAGACCATACAGACGAAGAAATTGAAATGTTTTATGACGATGTATCCACTGCGCTTGATGATTCTCGTACTCAATTCACAATTTTATGTGGCGATTTCAACGCAAAAATAGGGGTAAAAGAAGCAGATCTAGAAACATCTTTAGGACAATTCGGTTCCCCAGGAAGAAATGATCGAGGAGAAAAGCTACTAGGATTCCTACTCCAGAATAACTTATTCAACATGAACAGCTTCTTTCACAAAAAGATGCACAGAAGATGGACTTGGGAAAGTCCAAACGGTAGAACAAGGAACGAAATCGACTACATCATAAGTGATCAAAAACAAATAATTAAAGATGTAACAGTACTCAACAAGTTCACCACAAACAGCGACCACAGGATGATACGAGCGAAAGTTCAAATCAATATAAAAAGAGAAAGGAATATAATGATTAAAAATAAATTTCATGGTATCTGGACACCCCCATTAGATATCAACCAATATCAGACACATATCAATAATAAGCTTCTATTGCAGGAAACCTCCGCTAACGATATTAACGACTTGAATAACTGCATCATAAACGCCTTACAAGAAAGTCACCGAGTGCACTGTCCTAAAAGAAAATCAGATAGTAAAATAAGTCCATATACTGAAACGCTCTTGGATCAAAGAAGACAAATGAGAAGCGATAAGAATGTAGATAGCAACACTTTAAGAAAAATGAACAAAACTGTTTCGAAAGCAATTAGGAGAGATTTAAGGAAATTTAATACCGATTATATTAAACGCACTATAGAGGAAAATAACAGCCTAAAAGTTCTACGTAGAAAGCTAACGAATGGGAAATGCGAAATTCATAAATTAAGAAACAAGCAAAATGAAATAATATCACGTAGAGACGAGTTAATACAGGTCGTCGAAGAGTTTTACGAGGACTTATATAGAAGTAGACGAGAAGATAAAACAGGAATACAAACAGCCATTTCAAAGAAGATCAAGAATCAAGGTTCCGAACTAATGCCAGAGATAAAGCTAGATGAGATTCGACAAGCATTAAGAAAAATGAAAAATAACAAAGCCCCAGGAGAGGATGGAATCGTAATAGAAGCTATCGTAAATGGAGGAGATATGCTATTAAATAAATTAAGGAAACTATTCAATCTATGTTTGCAGCAAAGAGAGGTGCCCAAAGAGTGGAACAATGCTACAACCATCCTTTTGCATAAAAAAGGAGATAGAACGGACCTAGAAAATTATAGACCTATTAGCCTGTTGAACCACATATACAAGCTCTTCACTAGGGTAGTGACATCAAGATTGGAGAAAAAATTAGATTTCTACCAACCGAGAGAGCAGGCAGGATTCCGCTCAAATTATGGTACCAATGATCACCTCCACACAGTAAAGACACTCATTGAAAAATCTATAGAATATAACAAACCTCTTGTTCTCACTTTCATAGATTTTCATAAAGCGTTCGACACGATCGAATTAGACAGCCTTATAGAAGCAATGAATGACAGCAGGATTGACCATAGGTATAGTGAGCTTATTTATAATATTTACAAAAATGCCACTATGACTGTTAAAATAGACAATAAAACCCGACCAATAAAAATAAATCGTGGAATAAGGCAAGGAGATACATTGTCGCCGAAATTATTCATAACGGCATTAGAATATGCCTTTAAGATGATCAATTGGGACCACAGAGGAGTAACGATAGACGGCGAAAAGCTTAACCATCTCCGTTTCGCAGATGACATTGTCCTTATCACAGATAATTTAGGAGAAGCTACAGATATGTTAAACGAATTGGATTTTGCATGTTCGAAGGTGGGCCTGAGAATGAACTTGACCAAAACTAAGTTTATGACAAATTTGGTCCCCAATAACCATTTGACTATTCAAGACAAAGTGGTAGAACTGGTGGAGAAATATACGTATTTGGGTCATGAAATAAGAATCAGCAGGGATAACCAAACATGTGAGATCCAAAGACGAATTACTTTAACATGGGCAGCCTTTGGAAAACTGCGAGACACACTTAGGGTCAACATACCAATCAGCCTCAAAAGAAAAGTGTTTGACCAATGCGTATTACCGGTCATGACCTATGGGGCGGAAACTATGACTTTAACCAAGACCACGGCTTCGAAACTGAGAGTGGCACAGAGACGAATGGAACGGTCTATGCTGGGAGTGACGTTGAGGGACCGAATAAGAAACGAAGATCTGCGAAGAAGGACGAGTATTACTGATGTTGTGGAACGCATAGCGGAACTAAAATGGAACTGGGCAGGCCATGTAGCGAGAATGCACGATTCACGATGGACGAGCAAAATTACAAATTGGAGGCCAAGAGCAGACAAACGCAGTAGAGGAAGACCACCTACACGTTGGGCCGACGACATCAGGCGTATCACTAAAAATTGGCAACAAAGAGCACAAAATCGTGAGGAATGGAGGAGTTTAAGGGAGGCCTATGTCCAGCAGTGGACGTGATAAATAGAGGCTGGATGATGATGATGATGATGACAATGTTATATCATTCCTATACTGTTGTACGGAGTTAAGTCGTGGACTCTCACAGACGGTACCTGCAAGGGTATAGATGTTTTCGAAATGTAATTTTATCATCGAATCCTGAAGATATCCTGTACCGACCACGTTACTAACCATTACGTTCGATTAAGACTGCAAAAAAGACTTTTTAACCACAATAAAACCAGCCAAAATCGAATACCTCGGTCACTTCATGAGGAATAGCTAATTCTACAAGGAAAAGTAGAAGAAAAACGAGGACCAGGAAGGCGAATGATTTCCTGGTTGAAAAATATACGTATATGGTTCAACAAAACAACCACAAATCTTTTCAGAGCAGCAGTTTGCAAAATATAGATTCCCATGATGGTCGCCAACATTTAAAACGGATAGGCATTACAAGAAGAAGATCGTTATCATATTCGTAACTTGTGTAGCATCCAAGTACTAAAAATGTGATACCTATTCTATTGGACTATTGTCCACGATTGCTTTTGATCGCAAGATTATTTATCCTTTATGAATATTATCTATTACTTCCTTTTAAATGCGATAACTTTCGTCTGTGCTAAGGACATTTTGAATTTGTGTTGCATACAAATTTGGTTTAACCGATGTATTGGTAATTGTAGTTTGTCTTTTGATTCTTGTAGGTACTATTAGTTTGTCTACAAATAGTAGGGCGCTTAATACACCGATAGAGTATACCGTGAAATTTTACTAATTGAGGATGTCTTCAGGGTGAAGGAAGGGCTACAACCTGTCTCACTCCTTGGTTGATCACGATTCCTTCAAATATTATCTCACCAGGGCATACTACTATTTTTGTTTGGCAATACAAACTTTTTATTGCCTTTAAAAGATGTGGAAGGTAGCCGTTATCATTCATTCTTTCCCAAATCTTATTTCTGTCCACTCGGTCAAAGGCTTAGTTGAAGTCAATCAAACCTGTATGTGTTTTCAGGTTAAATTTTCCCTCGATGAGTTTCTAATTATTTATTGCTAGTATTTTTTTAGCAGTATCAAATCTAAATCGGATCTATGTATCTGATTGGAGTCAGCTGATGAAAGAGTAGTACGATGAGACAGGGTTTCAAGGCTCGGTGTTTATGCTATGAGATAACATTGTGTTTAGTATATTATATTACGTCCAGTGGATTTAGTGACGTTTATTTAATATCTTGTTGTTATTGATTTCCTAGTTGGATAACTGCTGTTATTCACCTCTCACACGATAGTACTATATGATATTTTTCTGTGGTCAAGACTCTACTTTGTTGTTTTTGTTTTGAGCATTCCTTTATTACCATAAATCTAAATGTTCTTAACTAGAGTCTATTTATTATTAGAAAGGAATGAACAGATTTACCTAGGGCAGAGTTTTCTCCAGTTTAATTTTGGGACCCTTGAAAGTTAACATTAAAATATTGGGTAATGTCGATGACTAATTGATTTCAACAACTTTTCAACATCTCTCGTTATCCCCGTTTGTCTCTCTTCTGGTGTTCTTCATTCAGTAACTTTCTAAATTACTCGGACCATCTTGGCTTTATTTCAACATGGGATTTGATGAGTTGCCCCTTGTTTTAGCAATGCTGTATAAACTTTGCATCCCTCCGGTGTTTCCAATGCTTCCCTCTTTGCTGCCTTCCCCTCTTTTGGAACCTTCATCCTTTTTCTAACCTCATTCTTCTATCTAACCCTCTGTTGCACTTTATCGTTCCATCACCAAGTTTCTTTGTTCCCAGCAGGCCCTTTACATATATTTTTTCTAGCACTTCTTCTCCCACTCGTACCACAAATTTGCTGTTTTTTTCACCAGATTATTTACCGTTTCTTTTTTCTCAAACTCTTCCAGAACTACTCTTAAAGACTTCTGCCAAATCTTTATCCTTCAACTTTCACCACTTTGCATTCTGATCTTCTACTTACCCTATCTTACTTTCCTTTCCGCCTCACCTTTATCTCCAAATCTACTATCAACGGTCGGTGTTGACTAGCTGCACACTAATCCTTTATCACTTATAAAGTGAATAACCTCTTTTAGCTAGCTTCTTCTACACATCACAAAATAAATATCTGACTTTCTTTTCCCTCGTTATATAGATAACACAGTGGTCGTCAATCTTCTTACAGAATGTATTAATTACAGCCAAATCCTACGCCATTGCAAAATCAATCACACTATTTCCTTCATCATTTCTTATTTCCATCCTCCAACCTTCATGAACTTTTTCTATTCCCATTTTTCTCCACCAATATATTCATTCAAATCACCTCTAATTTCCAATCAAGTGCAGTCCAAAATTCTTATTTTTCGTGTTCTTCACACCCTACATGTGGGCTGTAGGCATGATGTTCACGTTGGTATCGCCTGTGTTCATTTGGGCACTCAATCTATCACTTCTTCTGGTAACTCTTACTAGATGTCCCTTCTACTCGTTGTTCAAAATATGGCCCACTCCATTTCAGGCATGACTGTTCACACCACTGTATGTTAACTTACATCCATCTCCTAGATCTCTCCAATGAGTTTCTTGCACAAAAAGTACACCAATCCTTCTCCGCTGCACGAAATCGACCAGTTCTCTTCCTTTACCTGTCATACTTACATATTGCGCAACTGCGCCTCACTTACTGGGATCGCTCTAGCCCCTAAATACTGTTTAGGAGGGTTTATAAAAAAATCAAATATTGCACAGTTTTTAGATACGTCAATTATGAAGCGAGATATTTATTTTGATCAACGCTAGATGCAATAAAAAACAAACTGTAATGAATATAAAGATCATTTTACCATTCTTTATCAACTTTTTAGCCATATATTTTAAATAAAATCTGAACTTAATGAAACCTTGTTCTTCAATATATAAATTTAAAGATTAGTGTCTGTTTATACCTTCCGCGATATTTTCAAGAGTAATAAAATAATTTAATGCTGAAAGTTTGATATTATGTCATACATTATACAAATAATTTTTAACAAACTGACCTGTAAAATAATTTTTTAGGCAACCAGGTAACAGCCCAAGATGCTGAAAAGATGGGTCTCGTTAGCAAGGTTGTACCAGCCGACCAACTTTTGACTGAAACTGTAAAACTTGCCGAAAAAATAGCAGGAAACTCACAGATCGCCAATACTATCGCCAAAGAATGTGTGAATACAGCTCTGGAGACAACGTTGAAAGAAGGTTTGCACTTTGAGAAGAGAATGTTCCACGCCCTGTTCGCTACTAAGGACCAAAAAGAAGGAATGGCTGCATTTATTGAAAAGAGAAAGGCCAACTTTACTAATGAATAAACTATATAATTTTCTACTTGTTAAACATTTTTAAAGAAATGTATTATATATATTTTTATTAAATTTTTATAAGATGTTGCTTTTATGATTTAAAAGAAATCATGATCATCATCACCCAGACCGTTGCGTTCACTGCTGGACATAGGCCTCCCTCATTTTGACAATAGTCAATGTCAAAGTTTCGGCACCATAGGTCATCACAGGCAACGCACATTGGTCAAATGTTTAACGTTTTAAAGAAATTGGTATATCGCTTTTAAAGATGTCTTTGAGTTTTCCATGGGCTGCCCATGCTAGGTTTATTCTTCTTCTCAGTTCGCATGTTTGGCTGTCTTTTTATTTCGTGTCCAAGATATATATATATATATATATATATATCTTGGACACATAAGATATTATATATATATATATATATATTATATATTATATATATATATATATATATATATATATATATATATATATATATATATATATATATATATATCGGAAAAGGAGTACGACCGTCAATCCAATATATATATAAGGATCACTCAGACGAGTGGTGGGTTCTTATATCTGTCTCAAGGTGGAGAAATAAAAGACAAAGTTGATAGGCTACTTTATCTATTTTGAAGACGTTTCGTATTCTGAAAGCATCATCAGTTCATCTAAAAAGTACAATATGAGAACCACACGATCATGGAAACGATGTTATAAATGTTACCTTAAAAAGACATGTAGCAGTCAAAGATATTAACAAGTTTGTGAATAAAACTCAAGTAAATTGTATAAACAATCAAGTAACTAACAAAATATAACAACTTATAAAAAATTAGCACAGCAACTGACCATGTGGTCTAAAGTAAATGAAATATTTTATTTTAAGGTAGCATTATTTAAAGTGATGTTAATAAAAAATTATTTTAAAAAATAGTGTAAAGGAAGTTACCGATCAAAGCCTTACAGCTGCCGCCGGAAAAATGGCGTTAAATGAAACAGACCGAACTAAACCGTGAAAAGACAGCCAACCTTGAGGTCAAAAATTTTTTGACAGAGCAACAAGGTAGAGGTACTACCCCAAATAATTGGGCGGTCTATTTAAAAGTTTAAATGAGTTTGGATGACAACCCGCTTGTAAGAGACAAATCAATGAAAGAAATTGGTATTGTAATAGCAATTCCTCGCATTAACCAGTCTAGAACTAACAAACAGGAGAAATTCATTCAACCTCATATATAATTAATAACGCTAAACATTATGGCTGGATAATCCGCCACAGGTGATCAACGACAAGATAATTTCCACAGTCCAAGGTTCAAACGCTTGGAACTGTAATTTGTAAAGGATTCTATGAATCCATTACAATATTTGTATTATATTATTCAAGTAAAAAATTGTTCACACTAATCTAAGTGTGGGAATTAGTGTAAGAATATGCAATGTAAGTTGCATATACTACAGTGAGTTAAGTAAAAAATATTTGATTATTTTATTTTATTATTAATTTATTTCTATTTTATGTATATTTTAATTATTTAATTAAAACAAAATGAGTTCAAATAGTACACCTTACATGACATTTATATAGTGAAAAGATCATAAAGCCTAATTCTGCAAAATTAAAGCATGATATATTTGGCTCAAGTTACTTATGTCAGTTTTCTTATTTAAAGCATTAGGATGTTTAAGAATTGAACACATTTCCAAAAACTGTCTTTTAACTAAATTGCGTTCAGTGCCAAGAATCTTAACTTCACTGAAATCCACTTTATGTTTAGTATTTATCGCGTGTTGCGCCAGAGCACAAGTGTGTTTTGATAAATTAATGTCACTACGATGTGAAGTGAGACGACCTTTTAATGATCTACCAGTCTGACCAATGTAACATAAATCGCAATTAGCACATGGAACTTGATAAATCGTGTTAACTTGTTCCAAAGTGGACAAGGGTGTTTTAGTTTTTGAAAACAAATTTCTAACAGTTTTCGCATTCTTGACAGCAATTTTAACCGGTATGTTATTTTGTTTATACAGTTTAATAAGCTTCTCAGTAACTTGAGGAAAATAAGGTAAAGAAGAATAATGGGTGGAAGGATTCTCAAGATCAGTATCATGCAGAACAATGCTATTCATTGAATTATTTGAAATGGTTCTAAGTTGGTCACCATTGGGTATGTCATCAAATGGGGATCCATAGCTTTGTGAGTAAAGGTCATTGTCATCACTGTCTCGACAACCCTTTTTGGGTCTTGGCCTGTTCAAGGATTCTTCTCCATTCTGACCTGTTTCGTACTTTTTTTTTCCAGTTTTTAATTTTTAATGTTGTTATATCATTTTCTATTTGTTCTACGTATCTCAGCTTCGGTCTTCCTCTTGTTCTTTTTCCTACTGGCACTTGTTTGAATATTTTGTTTGGTATTTAGCCTTCTTCCATTCTTTCCACATGTCCAATCCAACGTAGCCTTCCTATTTTAATGAATGTTATGATATCCGGATCCTGGTATATGTTGTATAGTTCAAAGTTATACCTTCTCCGCCAAATCCCGTTTTCTTTTGTGCCCTTATATATGTGTCGCAAGATTTTTCTTTCAAAGGTGGCTAATAACGTTTCCTCCCTTTTAGAGAGTGTCCAGGTTTCTGAACCGTATGTGAGTACCGGTCTTATTAAGGTTTTGTATATTTGGCATTTTGTTTTTCTGGAGACGTTATCTGATCTTAGTTGCCTAATTAAGCCATGGTAACATTTATTGGCAATAAATATTCTCCTCTTCACTTCCTCTGCAACGTTGTTATCAGACGTAACTAGGGATCCTAAGTATGTAAAGCTTTTTACCGCCTCAATGTTGTATTCTCCTATTGTTAAATTTGGCAGCTGCCTTATTTGTGCGTTTTTATTTGCAGGCATATATTTTGTTTTTGTCTGATTGATTTTAAGACCACTATTTTTTGCAGCTCGTTCTATTTGAGTGAATGCCTCTATCATTTCTCTTCTTGATCTTGCGATTATGTCAACATCATCTGCAAATGCTAGTACTTGCACGCTTTTATTAATTATTGTTCCTCGGGTATTAACTGTTGTGTCTCTTATTATTTTTTCAAGTATGATGTTGAATAATATGCATGATAGAGCGTCTCCCTGGCGTAGTTCCTTCTTCACATCTATTGTTTCCGTCAATTCGGTTTGTATCCGGATTTTACTTTCTACTTTTAGTGTTTCTTTTATCAATTCTATTAGCTGTGTTGGTATATTAAATTCTTTCATTGCTTTTGTTAGGAATTCTCGGTTTATATTGTCATATGCGCTTTCGAAGTCTATGAAGAGATGATGTGTGTCGATGTTATATTCACTTGTTTTTTCAAGGATCTGTCGCAGAACAAATATCTGGTCTATTGTCGACTTCTGTCTACAGAAGCCACATTGGTATTTGCCAACTATTTTTTCAGCGTATGGTCTAAGTCTTTCATACATTACGTTGGACATTATTTTGTATGCCGCATTCAACAGCGTGATTCCACGGTAGTTTTCACATTCTAACTGGTTTCCTTTTTTATGTAGTGGTACAATAATGCCGCTATTCCACTCCTTTGGTAGCTGTTTATTCAACCATATCTTTCTTATCAGCTCATGTATGGCTTTATGTAATGCGTCTCCTCCTTCTTTCAGTAGCTCCGATGATATTTGATCCGATCCCGGTGATTTATTGTTCTTTAATTTGTCCACTGCTGTTCTAATCTCTGCTATTGTTGGTGGACTCTTTTCTCTGTTGTCTGCTTGGTCTAACGGTATATCAGGGTTCAAGTCCGTCCTATTCACCCCAAGCTTTTCCTTAAAATGTTCTGTCCATCTTCTAAGTATCTCTTGCTGTTCTGTCAATATATTACCCTCCTTATCTTTACACATCGTTGTTCTCGGTTTGAACTCTTTTCTGCTTTTGTTGAGTTTCTGGTAAAATTTTCTTGTCTCTGTTGGTTTACTTAGTTCTTGTAGTTCTTGAAGTTCTTTGTTGATATATTCTCTCTTCTTTCTTCGGTGAATTTTCTTTTCTTCTTTACGTAGTTGTTTATATTCTTCCTCTGCTTGTCGGGTTCTGTGCCTCTGTTGCATCTGTAGATATGCTCTGTTTTTTCTTTCTGTTATAGTTTGACATTCTTCGTCAAACCAGTGATTCGTTCTTGCTCTTCTTTCTTTACCTTCCATGCCCAACACCTCTTTAGCTGTTTCTTTTATAATTTCTCTGCACTCTTCCCACTCCTCATTTAGGTTTTCATGTTTTAGTCTTTTTTCTAGTTTGATGCTTATATTTTCTTTGTACTCTCTATTTTTGTTTGTTTCTTTGAGTCCTTCTATATTGTATCGTTCATGTTTAGAGCCTCTTTTCTTTTTGATGTTTGAAATTCTAGCCCTTATCCTACTTTCGACCGGTAGTGATCAGAATCCGCATTTACCCCTCTTCTGGTACGGACGTTTGCGCAGCGCAGCTGTAGAAAATGGTATGGCTCTTTTTTCCATAATATTTTTTCCAATCCACCTCATTTCTTGTATGGCAGTTATGTCAATTTTGTATCTACTTAGTTCGTTTAAGAGATTTTGGAGAGCCCCTAATCTGTACAATGTTCGAACATTCCATGTCGCAACCCTCAAATCGTGTTCCTTTTTCTCGCACAGTCGTCGTCGTTTAATCAGTCCGGCTTTTCTTCCTTGAACGTTCATAACTCATGGTTTTTCTAAGAGAAGGTAGTTAACCTTCAGCCCAACCCCCTATTCGTCGGAGGACCAAGACTTCCTTCTTCGTCAGCTCTGACCACACCTTCCATTGGGGGTTGGTTACCCAATCTCCAGTGGGGTTGCTCAGGTTACCGGTGTGTACCAGCTTGAAGGTGAAGATAGGAATTGAGTAGGAGAGGCTAAGTGACGCCTTGTGAGTAAAGGTATTTATTTATGATAGATGAAGGATATGAATTTTCTATTAGAATGTTTCTTAATAACTTAAGGGATTTCCTTCGATTAATTGGATGTGTCAATTTATTTAATCGGCAGCTTAGAGCTTTTATAAGGTTTAATTTATATTTCATAGGATGACATTCAACGTCGTTCCAATATCCCAAATCTGCCTTTTCAGATGAGACTCAGGATCCGAAATATAACCGGAGAAAAGCCATCAGTTTCTCAAGGAGCAACAATAAAACCAATATGTTCTTTTTGTCCTGTAAGGAACAGGTTTACCCAACATTATTGTACTAAGATTAAGTCTATAATAGACCATAACTAAGTCTCCAATTCTGTTACAGCAGAAACTCTTTCATCTGTCTGCAGAAGTTTTTACGACAAAATGAAATACTGGTCAGCCGTAGTAGGCTAAATATTTGAATCATTTCTGTAGGACATAAAGAATTATTTATTTTATTAGGAATTATTTTTCATTTTCAATAAGAGTATATTTTTTGTTTTGTATTTTTAAAGAAATACGCTTTTTTTTATTTCAATCACAAAAAATTGTTCAGATTATTAAAAACCGATACAAATGCACCGCTTATAAAGGTCAGTGTATTTTTATTGAGTTTATATTATAAGAAATGAACCGGTCGTACGTAATGAAAACTAAAATCAACGGACGGAGGTGTTTGTCGCACAACAGTCTTCACTAATTTTCTATTTTAAATCGGAAAATTTTTATACCGAGTACTCAGTGGACATATTCTTACTCAAAAATGTTACTTGAAGGGCAAATTTCTACTGAAGTAATAAGATATTTTGTGTCTTATCTACTGCTTTTTATTGTACGTATCGCTATTGAGATAGAATCTGCTCTCTGTCTTACTGATTTAAAAACATAGCATTCAATTCAATTCCACTTTAAATCTTCGTCTTTCTCCGCTGTAAATATTTGCGAATTAATCACGTTGCAACAATTTGAACTGTAACTTAAAAAATAATGTTAGGTACTTATTATTCCATTGCTTCCTCAGTGTTACTGCGACTTTTTAATTACTATAAAGATAAAACCTAAAAAACAATAAATCTATAAACAAAATACGTAGTTAAAAACAAAAGGTCTAATTAACATTCTATAATGGTCATATATGAAAAAAAAAAATGTACTACAATATCCTGAATATACAAACCGAAAACAAATTATAATTGTAAATATTTTATAAAATTGATTACAATATTATTGAATATTACAGACAATACATGTGTCTAGTATTTAATAAGCAACAAATATGGAATAATACTGCTGGGAAATAACAATTATATCTTGTTAAATGATTTCATAATAAAGTAGTTGCGATGTACTTCTGGCTCAACATCTACGACTAAACTGATTAAATCCAGAATGACCTAAAAAAGAAGTATCAATAAACAAACTATATATTTATATGTAATTTGATATTAAAATATAATGAAAATAGGAACAGAAAGTGTAAGTGCCCATTTTTTGTTCGAATAATTTTAGCAAAATATGGTCACGTTACAACCTAAGAGATTTGCTGATGATTTCATTAAAGTCAATAATTGGCTTTATTGGAATTCCCTTATCATTTCTTCTTCGCTAAGTATTGGCTATTATTATTGTATTTTAAGAAATTGAGACTACAGTAGTTAAAACACGATAGTCACAATTAACATAGGAAAGTTAAGCTGGATTTATAGTTTGACGGACTGTAGACGCAGACGCACTGGAAAAAGATCAACATAGACTTTTGTGTACTCCTATTTATAAATGAACGTAAACGCAAGACGGGACGTAAGCGAAACGCACTGTAACGGAAGAGTTGGTCAACTTTTAACTTTTACAGTGCGTTTCTTACGTCTGACCAATCAAAAGAAAGAATGGGTTATGTTCATTGCACCAATATTGAAATATGCCAAAAATTGATCTGGATCTTCTGTCTTCATCTTTAAAAAATAATTATAAGCATTCTCTATTTTTCTATTACGGTTTATTGGTCTTGTTTTATAACGTCTTGGTCGCCTTATTATTGTCCTTCTAGTTTTTTGCAATGCTACTGCACCCAGCACAGCAGCAATCCTACAGCGCCAAGGAGCATACCTTCGTATATTTCACAATCCATTCTAACACGCAAAAAGGATAAAAAAAATATTATAATAAACAATAGTATAAACACACACCCTTTGTTTATTATGAATTCTGATTCCTATAATTGTATAATTTATAGCTTATAGGTTATATTGAATGTTGTGGGTCACCAATTCTTGTCTTTACTCATGCGCAAAAATTCCACTACGTCCATTTATAAATTGAAAAAATATTTACAGTCCGTTTCTTTCGTCCCCAGTGCGTCTACTTCTACAGTACGTCAAACTATAAATCCAGCTTTACAGAAATCACCGGTGGACGTGGTGGCACAATGGAAATCTAACTGATTCTGGTGGAAACATTATCTTTTGAAGGCCTAAGAAATAACTTATTTAAGCTAGAAGAGGAGGTAAATGATGGACCAAGAATATTACAGCAGGAAGTTTATTATGCAATAACACAGACAAAAGAATGATAAAGCAGCAGGCCCGATAATATACAAGCAGAATTACTCAAGCTAACGGGCAACGATTCAATAGCAATAATCATAAAGGTACTTGAAAACATACGACTCTGGAGAAATACCAACTGAGTGGCAAAAGTCTGAGTTTATTGCACTTCCAAAAAAAAAAACAGGAGCGAAGGATGCGAAGAATACCTTATGATAAGCCTCATAACTTATCTACTAAAATTGTTCCTAAAGATAATTCGTAAGAGACTTTACAAGCTGTGTGAAAGTCAAATATACGTCAACCATTTCGAATTTATAAAGGCTATTGGTAAGAGAGAGGCTTTGTTCTCAGTACAAGTTTTATTTCAGACATGCAAATATGTCAATTGCGTTGTATACGCATGTTTGGTTGATTACGAGAAAGCGTTTGATCAAGTACAGCATACCAATATGATGAAAATACTAAAAGAAGCAAAAATTAGCAATAAAGATCTGAGAATAATTAGAAACCTTTACTCATAAAATTATACTGCAACTCTCAGAATTAATCGTGAGAAAACGTGAAATACATGAAAATCGATGAATACGTGAAAAAGGTTGTATTTTGCCTCCTCTAATTTTCAATCTCTACTCTGAAAGAATATTCAGGGAAGCTTTACACGAAACTGAAAAAGGCTTCTATCAAACGGGTAGCAGTTAACAACATCAGATATGCAGATGACACCATAGCATCTACGGACAATTTAGTAGACCTACAAGTCCTTATAAAAAAAATCACTTATTAGTCAACCATATGGACTCAATATAAACATAAAGAAGACAGAGCTCATGATAATTAGCAAGGAAAAGATAACATAAGGTCATCCTTAAGTCAACCAAACCGCACTCGAAAGAATAGCGCTAACAACTAGGAGATAATAGTGTGGTGTTATTCCTTAAATGTTAGAATTCACATATAAAATATTATAATTCATACTCGTGTAACATTTAGCTCTTATAAACTCTTGTTTATATAAATATATTTAGTAATTTAAATCGAGGACATTTATAAATAACATACTCTAATTAGAATTGTTAAATCAGCACTATTGCCGATCACCACATATACTTGGCGTAGGTCATGAACAAACTTGACATTTGCTGATATAGCAAGGACTACTATAAAAGCCCCAACAATCATTCTCTCAGGATCTTAATTATTGTACCGTCAAAATGGCAAGTTAATGCCGCATATAGTCAGCGTCAATTAAGTACTGAAATATTTAGATTAAGTAACATTAAAGAGTGTACAGTAGTGTTAAATAAATGGTTAACTAAGTACAACAACAAGTTATTTACCACCCCCACGACATTATTATTACATGGCGATCCTGAAGTGGTAGAAACCAGGAGTCTTCATCCAGAGATGTTGAGAAGAAAATCCCACTGGAAGTTTAGATGGAAAATAGCATACTAGATGTTATATGGAACCAATGCATTTCGAAATGGGAAAATGCATCAACAGATAAGGAAATTCCGGACCAGACCAGCCGAGAGCCCCGCGACAGCATTCCAGCTAAGGACAATGGACAGTAAATGGAAAATGGATAAATGGAATATGGATAAAGGTGAAGTGATAAGGACCATATATTAAATGTATTATGTAAGTAAATTTATTTTTTTATCCCTTATATATAAATACAGTCTAACAAATTGAAATTAATAATTATTACTTGAGAAAGTTATTAGAAATATAAAGAATTTAACTAGTTCAGAATGTTGAATATACAATTTTTATTGCTTTGAAAGTAGAGTATATAATTTATTTTTAAGTTTTTCACTAAATAACTTTATATAGCAAATTCTATTGTTTTAATGAAACAAATGTGTCATACATTTTATTTACTAAAGGTAGGTATATTTTTAAAAATATTTATATTGTTGACCATGAAAATACACCGACAGATCGGAAATTTTAAATTACGACGTTATTTACCATGAATGGCATGAATTTGCTTAGATGACAAATTCTTCAAACAATATAGACGAAGAAATTTGATATGACTTTTTATTTTACTATTTAAATAAGGATATTTAGAATTATTGTTACATTTATAAGGAAGGAAAATAATTTAGAAGAACTTTTAAAGACAATTGACCATGGCGTCAGAAAAATTTTCATTGCGTTTGGAACAATTTCCACGAAAATATAAGTTCAGGAATAAATTTATTATGGAAGAGTCAAGATTTTGTAGACGTAACGCTTTCAGCACAATTAAAATGCATAAAAGCCCATAAAATGGTTCTTTCGGTTTGTAGCCCATATTTTAAAGAAATTTTTAAGTCAAATCCCTGTCAACATCCGATAGTAATTTTGACAAACGTGACTTACGAAGCATTAAGAGACTTACTACAATTTATATACAATGGAGAAGTACAAATTAGACAAGAAGATTTAAATACCTTTATTGAAACGGCCGAATCATTGCAAATACAAGGACTCACTGGAAATAGAAAAGTCGTAAACGATAATAACATTATGGAAATTTCGGATAAAGAATATACACAAAATGTAGAAGATTTCAAGCCAGTTTCTTTACCTATGACAAAGAAACAACATATAAAGAAGGAAGAACATAGCGACATAGAGCAAGAAATAAGTATGGCTCTTACAATCAACGAATTTTTAAATATCGCAAGCAAGGTGTTACCCAGCGCGTTTGATGGAAGAGCAGGTAAACTGCAGTCATTTTTAGACGCACTAGAACTACTTGAGAAAATAGCGATAGGACACGAGGAAACAGCGATAACATTAATAAAGACAAGATTAACTAATAAGGCCAGAAACGTTATAACTACAGAAGATACAATCGCAAGAATAGCAGAGGCACTGAAGAGAGAACTGAGAGGCGACAGTCCGAAGACGATAATAGCTAAATTGGCGAAGAAAAGACAAGGACATAAAGATGCAGAGGTCTATGCATCTGAAGTTGAAGAATTAGCGGAACAGCTAAAAGTTGCATACGTAGAGGAAGGAATGCCATTGGAACTAGCGACAAAATACACAACAGAGGCAGTAGTAGCTACAATGAAACATAATGCCAGCGCAGACAAAGTCAAGATAATATTAGAGGCAGGCAACTTTACAACCCCACAAGAGGTAATGTACAAATTTTTATCGATCGACGAGACAGAAGATAGCACACAAGGAAGAGTGTTAAATTACAGGAAGAAATACGATTTTGATATAAGGAAAGAAAGTAAGAATGCAATATATGGATATTATAAAAATAAATTCGAAGAAAGAAAAGAATATAGAAACAAGAATTATAGAAATATAAGTGAATATGAAAGACATGATACGAGGATATATCGTAATAGAAACAGAGGAGATTGGCAATCACAACGAAGAAGAAATAAAAATCAATGGGCACAGGTGAGATGCTACAGAAATAGAAGCACAGCGAGAGCATATTACGCACCGCATGCGAATACGAATACAGTGACAGAAGTAGATGTTTTTTAACAGAAATGTAGACAAACTGGATGTGGTTCGACCTTAATGGTTGGAATATACGTCGAGCAGGAGGCTGCTAAGAGGATAAGCTAGGGTGGTACTTGAATCCCAACCCGCTAAGAGTCCTGCGGCTCCAGCACAATACAGTAACTACATAATGGATTAAAAGGAAAAAACGAATTTGGAATTATGATTTTTAATGAAGTAAATGGAAAATTATTGAAAAAGAAGTTTGCCACAATAAAGAACTTAGAGGAAATTATATTACAACATAAAACCCACAAGCAAACAGTAAGAAAGGTACTAAATAATATGAAGGCGCATAAACTACCAATTTTGTTTTTGGAGCAAACCGAGTCTCACCAAGACTGAGTATTCGGGTCAAAAACAAAATCAAATGATTAGGAAATGAGCAATAAGATATAGAGATATAATAGGAAAAAGAAAATAAGATATTGAAAAATGTAGAAATATACATATGCGAAGTACCAAAATCATAGAGGATGAATATAGTATGAATAAATATAAATAATGAATATAATATATACAATTAGTGTATTTATATGCAAGAGAAGAAACGATATTAAATAAAATAAGTACGCACACATGAGGAAAAATGAAGAACAGATTATTTTGAAAAATATATGTCTATATTAGTACATATTAGGCGAAATTAATTTCGAGATCGAACCGATACAAAATACAAAATACAGAAGAAACAGTTATAGTAATATAGAAACCAGAAGTTGCGAAGGAATTTACAGAAGAATTAGTAGATAAACCGATTAAGATTATGTTACCTATAGGAGTCAAAAATGTAAATAATCGAGAAATATAAATTAGAAGTTTTATTCCGAAGATACATAACCAGAAAAATTTTATATTTTTTATATGGAAGAAACAAAACAAAAGAGAAAAAAGTCGAACAACTATTAAGCACAGTAAAAACCATCAATATTTGAAGAAAAAAGACCCATAGAAAATTGCAAAATTTGCAGATATTTTTATTTTTTCGGAAAAAGACCCATATATACAAAGAAAATGTTACTTTGCACAAAGATACGAAATCAAAGAAAAACAATACTCATAATATTTTATTATGATAACAAAACACAGTATTCCTAGTATAAACATTACATAACGACATTAGGTTAATTTTATAGCCGACTTACTATTAGATATTTGATATAGTTGCATGGTAAGCAAGGTCATCAATTATGAAATGAGTACAATATAACTGAACAGGTTGATTATTTATTAATATGACCCGTATATTAAAAATTTTATTTACGATGCAAGAACTAACAAGTAGGGATTTTATTTTTCGACATAGACGGAAAATCGATGAACAGAAATATGTTCATATTTTTGCTAGAAGAGGAACTCTTAGGACATAATATTTCGAATAAACAGACACCGCAGAATGCAAAAGAAGCAAAGCGATTGTTGCATTTGCAAATTGTTATAGAAAACATGTCATCAATTTTACAGAAATAGCCGCACCACGTAACAGACTATCTAGAAAAATAAAGTTTAATGGACTACTGAATGTCAAGAAGCATTTATTAAGCTCAAAACATATCCCCGTTAGCTAATAAGCCCCGTTATATAATTCCCCGATTTATCGAAGAAAAACAAATTTAGGTTAAGAATTTATGCTTCAGGAATAGCATTAGGAGACAAATATGAATGCAGAAGATTATAAAGAAAATGATAATAATGAAAAATTGGAATAAGAAGAGATGAAAAATAAGAATCAGCCAATTCTTAATGAAATACGAAGAGAAAAATAATAATTTTTTTAAGAAAGTATAAAAGCTGGTATAGTACAAGATAAACATAATTCAATCAATACATAATATAGTACAAGATAAGAAGACCAAGGAGAGTTATAAGTACCGACTTCCACATGTTACAGGAAGGTTATGGAAAAATAAATAGGATATATATTAAATACAGAAATATAAGGAAATACTATTTCTGGAACGAATTACGAAGAAATGTTGAGAAATAAGTGAAATGTGAAGAGATGCGACGACTGCCAAAGGCATAAGCACTAAATCATAAACAAGGAATGGAAATGTACATGGATGAAAATGGAAACAGATATACTGACGTACAATGCGAATTAAGCAATTACGTAGAAGAATATGTAATAGAAAATGAAACAGTAGCCAAATCATTGGTAGAAAAATTTATCTTGAGGTATGGAGTACCCAGAAAAATAATAGCAGACCAAGGCACAGATTTTATAGCTAGAATAATTAAGAAAGCAATACTTTGCTACAATTAGAGTCAATGAATATACTCGTAATATATACATGTACTTTTGAATGCAAATAATATATAGAGATTATTTTAAATGAATATAATGTGTAAATATAGTTTTAAGTTCGTACAAAATATATGTTTTTAAATGTGTATAGCAAAAAGAAAAAGGTTAGACTGTATAGTAGGTAAACAAAATAAATAGGGATAAATGAATAAATAGATAAAATGACAAAACTTTATTGTGAGATGTCAAAGTGACTAATCGTGTATATGTGAAAACAAAACAATTACTTGGTACCAAGAATCATTACAAGAATTAATGCAAGCATTAATGTAAGAATTATTATAAGATTTTATTATTATAAATTTATTTATTATGTAAAATATGTAAAGGTTATTGTAAAAATTATGTGCACATAAGAGGGGGTAATATAAGGTAATATAATCTAAATAATTTAACGTAAGGTAAGAAAAAACGTACGTAAAATATTGAACTAATATGCGAGTAAGGCATAATGAAGGATACCAGATAGCGTATTACAAGGGAACAATTAGGGTAACCTTATAATATGCTGAGGTTAGGCTAGGTTAGGTTACTAAATTTTTTACTAAATGTAAGAAAATATATACCAACATTTGTATAAATATATATACGGTAGCATAGGTAAACAGTACTTATTTGAGGTTGCAAAATTTTTCTTTTTCTAAAGGGAAAGAGAGAGGAATGAGACAGTTGTAAAAGAGACATTTTTTCCGTAAGGGGGATGGTGTGGTGTTATTCCTTAAATGTTAGAATTCACATATAAAATATTATAATTCGTACTCGTGTAACATTTAGCTCTTATAAACTCTTGTTTATATAAATATATTTAGTAATTTAAATCGAGGACATTTATAAATAACATACTCTAATTAGAATTGTTAAATCAGCACTATTGCCGATCACCACATATGCTTGGCGTAGGTCATGAACAAACTTGACATACTAATAAGTAAACATTTGCTGATATAGCAAGGACTACTATAAAAACCCCAACAATCATTCTCTCAGGATCTTAATTAATGTACCGTCAAAATGGCAAGTTAATGCCGCATATAGTCAGCGTCAATTAAGTACTGAAATATTTAGATTAAGTAACATTAAAGAGTGTACAGTAGTGTTAAATAAATGGTTAACTAAGTACAACAACAAGTTATTTACCACTCCACGACATTATTATTACAATAGCACGCGTTGGGAAAGCTAGATTCATCTTTAACCGGATGGGAGCTTTTGTCAATAGCCACCTCTCTCTTGGTATACAAGTAAAAATACTGCGATGTTACGTCTTCTCTGTTCTTTTTATAGTGATAATTGTAGAACCTGAATGAAAAAATGCGCAGAAGAATGGAAGTATTTGAGATGTGGCTATATCAGAAAATACTTAAGATCCCGTGGACAGACCGAATCACAAATGAGGAGATCCTCAGAAAAGCGAAGGAAAACCGAAAGGTCCTGAGTACCATCAAACCTCGAAAGTTACAATAATTCCGATACAATATGCTAAACAAATCCAGATATACCCTCCTACAAGCTAAGATGTAAGAGAAAAATTGGAAAAGCGAGGTCCAGGAATAAGAAGAACATCCTGGGTAAAGAACCTCAGAAACTGGTTCAACACAACATATGTGCAGCGTTTCCGCGCTACTTCAGACACGATAAAGATTGCCATGTATTTCTCAGCGTGCCAAAACCCGTTTAAGTTAATTGTACTCGTCTTTTAATTTCAGCTTTGGTTATTTGGTATATATCCCTGATAGGATATTAGACCTATGCTAATTTCATGACTATTGTTTTTTGGGTTTTATAAGGTTAATTTGTACATCTACTTCCTTTGCTACAGAATTTAATGTATAGGTTAGAGCTTGCTTTCCCCTCAGGGCAAGTAGTAGAGGACTAACTTCGTTCGCGAGTTAGGAGGTTACGCGAGGAGCTTGCTTAGACAGGGGCGCTAAATCTCTGAAGTAGATCTGTCCTATATCGGAATCATAAAGGGGTACCTACGCGCTACCTAGATTTCTTAATACATATTTTAAGAATCTCTTAAGAATATTTTTACGTAGTGAGAAAAAGGTTGTAATAACCTTTTTAGATGCCTTTGGCCTGGAATATTCTCTAGCAGCGTACTGCAAATTATAGTATACGGAAATAAACGAAGAAGTGTTCAAAAAAGAAGACATTGACCTTAACAGATTATTTAAAAAGAAGATGAGAACTTATAAAGATTCTCTAGATAAAAATTGACTTACCGCTTCTTTAGTGTTTACAACACTCTCGTCCAACTGAGTCATGTGGTGTTCAGTGTCTTTCTCAATTTTTGCAGCTGCGTCTTCTTTAGACCCCATGTATTTTGCTTCATATTCGCGAAACTGTCTGTCACGTTCTTTTCTGTATACTTCTATATCTGCTGCCGCTTCATCTCTAGCTTGTTTTATTCTTCTAGTTTTGCCTACAAAAAAAACATTAAAATATAAAAGATAAAGATAAATTTAATTACAGAATAATAAATCCGCTCATCAAGAGAACAAAAACTCATGAAATAATCTTTTTCTAAAGGTGCCTAATTGACTCATTGTCTGTTACGTTAGCCATTGAAACTTTAAATTTTCCTAGTAATAACTCAAATATATATGTCTTTCAAATTAAAAAACTTGTTTATGATATTTATAAAAACCGAAGTGTTGTTCATTTTTTGTGGGTTAAAGCACATATAGGCCTTAAATACAACGAACATGTTGACCTATTAGCTAAAAAGGCCATTGATACCGGAACGCAAGCTAGTCACCAAATCTGTAGACAAGACGCATTAACAATAATTAAAAATAATATCAATAGTAAATGGAAACAATCTTGGCATATAAATAGTACGCATTCTTCCTCGCAATATGCTTCTATACAGCCTTCAATCCCAAGTGATTATTGGTTCAAAAATTATTCTGTTCCACGAAGGTATATAACATCCATAATTAGAATAAAATTTGAACACGCCTGCTATCCTAGTCATCTGTCCAAACTAAAAATCGTAAATTCAAATTTATGTCCAGACTGTCAAAAAGAAGGGGATCTAAATCACATTTTCTTCGAATGTAAAAAATACACAAAACAAACTGAAGATTTAGGTAATAAAAAATTTAGTTAATATCAAAATTTTTCCTCCGTGCAATATGTACTATCTGCTATCTCTAAATATAAGATTTGTAAATGAATGTTTGATGGAATTTATTTGCGAAAGTAAGCTCAATATTTAACTGTAATTAGAATCCTAACCTCTGTTTTACCCCATTTGTTATTACCTTTTATCCGTGACCTAATCTAGTTTGTCTTAAAAGCAATGTCTTGATGGGTCCCTAGACGTGAAACGAGTGTCCATGTTTTATCCCTATCCTATCCTTAATAATAATTTTAATGCTTAAAATTTGTAAGGATACTTATATTTGAATTTTTTTTTTCTGGGTAGAATATTTTCATGTTGTGACTGGCTGTATGGCACTTGCCTATGCCATAAAAAAAAGGTGCCTATCTTCTGGAGATGTTGGCGACCATAATGTTTCATTTTATTTTATTCACAGTAGCTCGATATATATCATTTAATTAAATAAAAGGCAGATGCCGAGCAAAGTTTCAGAACAGAATAGGCATAAAATAAACATTCCCTCTCGTGCTGTCGCCCACCACGTAGCTTCTTCAAATTCAATTTTTTTTTAAGTGTTTGTCCTTTCTCTAGTGTTGTGTAAATGTATTACTTAATGTTTATGACATTAATAAAATTGTTGGATAGTCTATAATTTTAACGAAATGCCCCTGAAGATGCTCTGAGAGCGAAAGTACTTGGGCAAGATTTAATAAAAAACTGTGCTCGATATCTGCCTTTTGTTTGATTAAACTTTATTTATTCGAGAATTCAACCAAATATCACGATATAAATCAGTTAATTAATAGTTTTTATTTTGTAGCTATGATCCCAGGTATCCTTAATATTGCAGCGTAGATAGCATATTCTCTCCACTCTTTATAACGGTAATGCTTAAATTACGATATTTTGATAAAAAAAAACTAGGTCTCTATGGAATTAGACGTATTTCTTTGAATTGGTTCCAATCTTACTTAAAGAATAGGAAACAACTAGTTAAAGCAAATGGTAGGGTAAACTGTGCAAATACCGGTCACTGGGTAATAGCGGTCATCCCGATTGTGCGAAATCAATTCAATCTGGCAACCTCCTATAACTATCAACGTGTCGCTACACTACTCTGTAACTAATGACTATGCGAAAAGTAGCAAAAGCATATGCGATCCCTTTTTCAACATTACAAGAAAGAATAAAAAATAAAAATCTTCACGGTGCGTGTCACAGCCATTTGATAATTATTTTGTTTGTATAACCGCTTTAAATGCTGAAGTTAAAAATCTCTTATTAAAATTCAAAAAAAGCTTTAGCTATAAAACCTTTTTAAATCATAACAATCTTTCCACTTTTCGGCAATAATTCTTATATTTTATCGCCATCACTTCAATTTATTTTCTTTATTTTAACGCGTAAGTGGTGTAATAAAAATTGATGAGGTTCTCACAGTTGACTAAGACTCTAAGGGCTGAACGGTCGATGTATCCGTGGCTTGAGATTTTTTAATTTTGTGTATGTATAGATTGATGCTTATAAGTGATAATTTTGTTACATCATTTTTTGAAAGCACGCGATATGTTTTGTTGGGAACTGGCAAATATAGATTTTCAATAATTTTGAAGTTTAATTTTGTAATATACGAACCGTGTATTTTATACGCAAATTCGGGTAGAATTGCGTTGGTACACACTTGACATATTTGGCGACCGTGACAGGACTGTTTCCATAAAATTAATCGTGGTTGTATACGAGGTGTAACAAAATTGAATTGACGATCACCGGACAAACTTTATCGCGTTTCGCCTGTAACTTTCGGTAAACGTGTGTGGTTTTGACCAAGTTTGCAGAGAAAAATGGATCAAAAGAAGAAACATCGCAAAGTGCTCCGTAGCACCTTCACGAGGACGGCGAATGAAATGGATAAGCTTTTGTCGGCGCCGGAGGGTGAGATACGGTCAATTAAAGTTTCCTTGGATCTATTACGCCAAAAAATTGAAGACCTAAGGAAAAGTGATGAAGAAATCTACGGTCTATTACTAAGTGAAGACGCTAGTGAAGAAGACCTTTTAGCAGAAATTGAGTGTAGTGACAACTATAGCAAGAAGTTTTTGGATCTCAGTATGCAGTTCGAAGACCGTATGCAGTCAATAGTGACAGGTGCAGTGGAAGGTGAGGTAGCTTCTAGGATATCTGATGATAGGAGTAGTTTAGACAGCAGACACGGTAAGCGAAAATTTAAATTACCTACATTAGAGTTCAAAAAATTCGACGGGAATATTAAAAACTGGTTGCCTTTTTGGTCACAATTTCAAAAAGTTCATCATGATCCTGACATAGATCCGAACGACAAGGTCGAATATTTGATTCAAGCTACTATACCGGGTAGTAGAGCTAGGCAACTAGTGGATAGTTTTCCCGCCACTGGAAGTAATTATGATGCTATGATTGACTGTCTTATTTCGCGTTTCGGTCGGGATGACTTGCAGATCGAAGTTTATGTACGGGAATTACTTAAATTGGTAATAAATAATACTGCGTCTGGCAATAAATTAGATCTATCCTTGTTATACGACAAATTAGAGACTCAGTTGAGGGTTCTGGAAACACTCGGTATTAAGTCGGATAAATACGCGGCTATGTTATTTCCTTTAGTTGAATCCTGTCTACCTTCAGATTTATTAAGAGTTTGGCAACGATTGCCAGAAAGTATCGGATCACAAGCGTCACTTAATTCTGCCGGCATCGCAAGCATCGAAAATCGACTTCAGAGTTTAATGTTGTTCTTGAAAAAGGAAGTTGACAATGAGCAGCACCTTTCTTTAGCAGTCGAGAATTTCCATTTGCATGCTGCTAAAACCGAAGATTTTAAATCTACAGGCCCAAAAACAAGGAGACACGAGGAAAACAAGCACAAGTCTCCTTCCGCGATGGGTTTAGTTAATTCTCACACTATCTATAAATGTGTTTTTTGTCAGAATTCGCATGAAAGCAGCCACTGTTTTAAAGCACAGAAATTAACTTATGACCAAAGAAAAAATATTTTGACAGAAAAGGGCGCGTGTTTTCGTTGTTTGAAAATTGGACATCAGTCTCGAAAATGTCGCAGTCAATTAAGTTGTTTAATTTGCTCTAAATCGCATGTACCTTTAATGTGCACTGAACTTTCAAGACATTGGGTAAAGCAGGATACAGAAGAGCAGAAAGAAAACGATGGCATTGCCGTGCCAAGAATTGAACAGACGCTCGCTAATAGTGCTAGTACGAATGTTTTTTTGCAAACTCTGCGTATTGAAATAAACTATTTAGACAAGTCGCGAGTTGTACGTGCTCTTATAGATACCGGATCGCAAAAAACGTACATTTTGAAATCTACAGCTAAACTTTTGGGTTATCCTAGTAAACGACAGATTAATCTAGTACATGGATTGTTTGGAGGAAACCAATTAGCGCAAAAACATGATTGCTATGATGTTAGAGTGTTTCATAACAATTATAGTTATACATTTGAGGCACTAGATCAAAACGTTATATGTAGCGACGTCTCTTCCATATTTAATGGTCCCTGGATAGAAGAACTTGGTATGTTTAATATAAAACTATCGGACTTGGGTGATGCGTCTCCTATAGAGATTTTAATAGGTGCTGATATTGCTGGAAAACTCTATACTGGGAGGAGGCACATATTGGAAAGTGGACTGGTAGCTGTAGAAACATTATTAGGTTGGACTTTAATGGGCAAGATACCTTTAGGTCAACGGGACAATAATACCACATCTGTTGTATCACTTTTTGTTAAAAATGCTTCAGTTAGTAATCTTTGGGAGCTAGACGTTTTGGGCATTGGTGATCCAACTGAAAGGAAGTCAAGTGAAGAAACTGCGCTAGCAGCCAGGAAACTTTTCTTTGAAACAGTGTCATCGGATTCTAGTGGACGATATGAAGTGAGACTCCCATGGCTGGAAGGACATCCGGCATTGCCGAGCAACTACCAAATTGCAAAAAGAGACTCGAGAGCACATTTAAGAAAATAACGAAAGACGGATATCTTGAAGCCTACGACCAAATATTTAAGGATTGGTTGGACGAAGGTATAATTGAAGAAATATCCGAGGAGCAGCCTAGCCAAGAATGTCATTATTTACCCCATAGACCGATAATAAAGCCAAATAGCTTATCTACAAAAATCAGACCGGTCTTTGATGCTTCGGCCAAAGAAAAACACAGACCTTCTTTAAATCAGTGTCTTGAAAAGGGGTTAACCTGATTGAATTGATTCCAGCTATTTTGTTGAGATTTAGACAAAAGGAAATTGGTATAATCTCCGA